GGTAATAACAGAAATTTGGTGGCAAATCAGATTGTGGCAAATAATTAATTCCTCTATAATTGCTATGAGATTGATTTCCCATCCTATCTGAGCAGAGCAACACATTATTACCTTCTTTCTACTAGACAGCAAAAATCACCCTCCCCTCCAAGTTAGCATGTCCTTTCCCAGATGAACAAAACAACCAAGCAAGATGCACTAACCATGCATATCATGCAAATCTGAAAGCATCATTAAGTCAGTCAAGTCAAAATTAAACTGTAGGAATGTACAAAATGTCACTAAGTGAAATTTGCCTTTAAGATCATTCAGAAGACTGACATTTTTTGGTGTTATTAAAGGAAATGCCCTCCTTCCTTTTCTTGTCTCCCCACTTTCCCCCTCTGACTCTTCATGCAAAAGGAAATTGGAGTGTTTTCGCTTAAATAATAGCACCAAAACTACGTAATGCTCAGTGGAACTGACAGGCTTAGATCTTAGAATAGAAAATTTCATTTGGAAGGGACCTACAATTATCATCTAGTTCAACTGCCTCATTTCAGGGCCAAAAGCTAAAGCAAACTATTAAAGGTCCTGTCTAAATGCTTCTTAAGCATTGACAGGCAGTGTCAGTCATGAATTGAGCTGCAAAATATACTCCATTTCAGTTTCCTTTTAAAGATGGCCACAGCAATGACTCTCTTTATGTGGTCACATTATCACATAAATCACATGAATTTTTTAGAATATTATGTTTACCCTAAATTGCTTACAAATTATCAATCTTGCTTTATTTCCTTCTAATGAGTAAATACATGAATATATGAAAAACTCTTTTTTTCCCCCTTAAGCAGAGACTGTTTAAACTTGTAGATACAGAAGGCTGATGGTCACGGAAAAAGGAATGGGAGAAAGATGGTTGTTTGTCTTTTTTTTTTTAATTTTATTTTTCACATTCCCCCCCAATCAAAACCAAACAAACCCTCTCCTGCTCATCTCTTGTGTCTTCTCAGCTAGTAACACATGATTCAGAAGTAGAAGACTAGTCATTTACTGCTAGAATACTTCAGAAGAAGAGGTAGAGAAATATCAGCAGTACCATGTTTTCCATCAGAAAATATGACCTTATGTCTGACTGAGATAAGCTTATTAAGTGTCTACAATGGAATTTAATTTAGGAAAAGACCAGAAAAATTATCATTTCATTTTCTACTCTGGAGCTTCCATGTGGAAACTTCTGTATAGTACAAAAAAAGATTTAAAGAAATTTCCTTTAATGAAATTTCCTTCCAAGAACATATTATCAAAGGCTATGACCACTTCTCACTCAGTTCTACTCTATAGCAAATGGCTACTCTTTAAAGGAGCTCAGGCAAACAGAATTTTGGCTTAATAAACTACACTTTCTTTCTGTTGCTCTGTCTTGGGCAACTCCCAGGCACTCTCTCTTGCAGTGTGCTGCAACCTGGTACAGGTCATATTGCAATAAGAGCAAAGTTATCATTATTCTGCAGTTAATCTACATTCACTTGAAAATGCACACCAATTCTTGAACCTTCTTTGATTACTCCACTACTGGAGTTCTCATGTTTTGTGTCTGATCCAGGCCTGAACTTTGCCAATGTGCAATCTTATTAAGTATGCCACTGAGAAGTAAAGATCAACTCCAAATTTTGGAGCTTACATAGGATCAGGAAAAACAGCACATGCAACTCTTTAGGACAGCATTGCTTAAGTGATAAAACCAAACAGTTAAAATTTCCCATGGAAATAACTTTCCTCAAAGAAATGCAATCTTCACTGGTTTGAATTATGACTTCTTTGAGAATCACATTGGCCAGATGTGTATTGGAGTTTGCTTGCAATTACCAAGTGTTACATTCAAGTCAGATCAATGGTTTTACATACAATAAAAAACTGATTTGTCAGGAATGTGAATCACATAGGTGCAGTTTTAGTTTAAAACATATGACCAACCACCATTATGGCAACTTTATAGAGGAGGAGAAGTAAAAATGTTGCAATGGGGATTTAATTGGGTGGGTCTCCAGTGTCTCACTTAATAGAGTGTTATTTTATCCTCTGGCATGCCTTTGTGTGCTTCCCCCCACTTACCTCCCCACCATTTGCTACACAACCAGGATTTAAATAACTGCTAGTGTCTTCTTGCCATTCTTTTTCTGCCTATTTGAAACTTACAAAATAATGTTAATAACTAAGATAAAGTCTAAATAAATGAACCCTTTCTTAAGGTTCAGCATTATAAACAAATAGTCAATTAGATACAGAATTGTAGAAATATTGATAATTGTTGTATGAGTAAAGCATGAAGTAGGCAAATCAGGAAAGTGTTGACTCTGTCACATTGTGATTACTTAAACAAATGCATTTAAAAAAACCCCAAAGGCTCGTTATATTTCTTCACATAAAAGAGACCAAACATGAGGCTAATCAACTTCTCCTTAAGTAGTTATCCCTGTATCTTCAGGATTATCTATGTCGCTGTTGATAAATATGCCACTGCTAGTGTGGTGATCTCCTCCCCTTGGGCACAGTAATAGAAAAATGTGCTAATACCAAATCATTCATGTTACATTATATCCTTTCCTTAGCTTCAAGTCAGACATATCCTCCTCAGTATAACAATTCAGGCCAGTGCCCTCGTACTAACAGAGACACCATCTTTACTGACAGGTGTCAAAAAAGAATTTGGCCAGCCTAGATTTGGCCACTCTGTTTGAGTGAGAATCACTTTGATTGATTTGATTTGGTTTGATTGGATCCCTTTTAAATCATGTGATTTAAGAGTAGACATTCAGCTCTTTGAGATAGAGGAGAAATGGGAGACCCTCTTAATATGCTAGTCACTGTAACAGCTTACAAAACACAATAGCACTGTCTTACTTGTGATGGTTGAGCACAAAATGTAAAAGACGAAGCCTAAAGTTTAAAAGCACGTCTCTTTTTCTCTGGGGCTCTAGGTGATCTAACGGAAGATACCACCTTTCCATACAAACTGTTTTACTTTTCTGTATAATGCATAGGCTTCCTCACCCCCAGTTTTCCTTCCTGACAAATGCTAAAAATATCAGAAGACCTGTTAAACTCAAAGGTTAGCTCATTTGTCATGGAAGCAAACATTCCCAGGCAGTGAAAGAGGAGAAACTGGCACATAAGTAAATAAATGATTGAGAGGAGGTGCGAGGAAAAAGATACATCAGAGGACCAATTCAACTTCTGGGAAATTAACTAAGGTGACCCTTTCACACAGCAAATACATTTGTTACCAGTTACAGAGGAACATGTAGATGGGGAAGCACAAAGCACATATGCCTATAACATTATGAAGAGTTATATAAACCTTCACTAGTTTAGCATGGAAAAAACCCTACATAAGTCATATATGTTGGTGTCAAATACTTCAAACTTCTTTAAGGTACATAACTGACAAGTGGTATCATTAGAACCAGCGAATTGAAAAACACACCCATTACTTTGTGCCAGTCATCTTTTGGAAAGCATGATGAAGGCTTTCCAGGCTGTAAAAGACCATGGTTCAGATCTCAGGCCATACCTGTGTCACATGCTGTAGGATATTCTGAGAAGAAATTCCATCTCTGTTACTAGTGTTGGTAGAATTTTGCACTAAATGTTCAAAATAGAAATATTTAAGCAGAACTGTGTCAGAAGGGGACATTGAGGAAAAAGCACTTAAAAACATGTGGCAACACTAAGACATGTTCCCAAAGCAGTTGTTCAACTCCTGCCATGAAGTGGGTGAAATGTGTTTTTGAACTTACTTCCCTCATTCCAGGTGGACATCCTAATTAGAGCATTCTTCATGGAATGGAGAGCACAACTCCTTTCTCTGGTATGCCTGTTAAGGAAAGGTAGCAAAAAATAACAATCACAGGATTGTTTCAGGAAAAGAGTCACCACAATAAACCTGCCCAATTTATCTCAAGAACCTGTGTTGCACAGGTAAACTGAGACAAGAGGTACGCAAAACCCTCATTACTTCTGAAAACACAGAATATGAGAAATGCCTTTGAACAGATGAAACTGATTGAGAGAATTGTGTAAACAGGAACATGGCACTGCAGTAGAAACAGTATAATGATTAGCAGAAAATATTTTGACAGCTTTTCCTAATAGGTTTTCCTTTTTGCAGTACAATACAGGAAGGCAAAACTTAATTTTTTTTTTAGATTTTCTTGTTTGTTATGTGTTAAAAGCCTCACTGAATTGAAGAACCCCATCACATATTTTAATACTTTTAAAAAATAAAATTCAAAATGGCTAACTTTGTAGCCATTTGCCTAGAAATAATATAAGGATTTATAGCAATTTTTTCAGTCCTACTTTCCAAGCTAACTTAAAAGTTTCAGAGTATACAAAACGAGTAATAATGGTGCATTAGGTGAAGGGAAAATAAAATCTAGTATGCTAGTCAAAAGTTTCTGGACTGCTCAATTGCTGATATGCCTAAAGTCGACTAAGTTTTAACTAAATCCAGTTCAGGCTCTTTTTATTGATACAGAGAATGCCTACATTCATCTCTACTGTCTCTACTCCTTTAAGTATCTTTTTTTTTTTTTTTTATAATTCTGAATATTCAACTGGACTGTTTTCAATGAAAAAAAGCACAGGAAGCTAAAGTTTCCAACTTCAGGTGAAATTACAACCCTGTCCCTATGTTACCCTGCTCATGATCCCTAGAAAAGCAAAGGCATAAATTAATTTAATCCATATAACATTTTTTTTTTAACTTCTGTCTCCCTTCTTTTTAACCCAAGCTACTGAAAGAGTAAGAAATCTGTGAATATGAAGTGAAATTATTCCTTTTTAATATAGTGTCAGGTGGAAGACACTACGTACCTTTAAAGCTAGACAAAATACTTCTGAAGAAGGTAATTTTCCAGGAAAACATTAACCATTCCTTAATCCAGTCACCAACCTTGTTCAGCATACTTTCAAAATGGTGTTTTAACTTCGGAGAGATAGTAATTTTCAACAACAGATGAACATGTAAATATTCAATCCATTTATTGTGGAAACACTGAAGACACAATATAGCTTTAACATACTCCCACTGAATAAGTACTAATTTAATCTGGACTCACAGTGTTTATTGTGGAAATGCCGCAGACACAAGAAGAGATTTAAACACAGTTTAAATCCACCATACCATCAGAGAACATGACACTTCAAGGAAGGCCAAAACAAAATGGCTCTTAAAGCTAAAAAGAAGAGGCAGATGCCATTTCCTAGAAATGAAGGATGGTAGGCTCCACTGGAGCAGCTTTAGTACTGGGCTTTTCTTTTGGATTGGTGGTAAATGAAAAACCCAGAACCCAGTAATTTTTATTTTTTAACCTAATTGCTCCAATCCAGGAATCTTTGGCACAGGAATTTTCCTTTGCTTTGTGGCTACAAGATCATTCAGCCGTTTGTTCTTAACAAGGCCACTGCTTTCATACACTTCATTTAACCCTACTGTGAGGCATTTAACTGCGTGTTGTGCAAAGAATGCTCTTGAGTGTCAAATTCTGTCTTGATAGGAGACTAACAGCACCGGGTTATTGCACTAGTTCTGTTTTACTCTAGCTTTAATAGACTAACAAACAAGGCTGTTAGAGAAGAGAACTGATTTTCCTCATTATTTGCTACACTGGACTTATATTTCTTTTACAGTGATGAGCTGGCTAACATATCTACATGCAAGAGGAAAGAATTCCACTGCATCGATTTAAAGAGACAAAAAATGAGTTGCCAAATAAAGTTATTTTAAGGTAAGTTTGCTGATATTCTATTTCTAGTTCACTCTTGTACTGGATTTAAACCACAGAGCTGGACTGCTACCTCTTTGCAGAGCTGAATGAAAATAAGGCCTATTTAAAAAACCTGCCCTACAGAGGACACATAGCTTGTTCTGTCTGTCAGTCCCAATGGTACATTTAATGCCTCTTTGCTGTGTGTTAGTTGTGAAGCCTGTATTCATTAAACAGGGAATGTTTATATATTCAAAACTTGTGAGTAAAATAGAAGTAAATCCCATGTACATTTCTCAGCCATCATCAAAACACAGACAAAATAAAAGCCTTATAAAATATTGTAGAAAACTAGAGATCTTCTACACTTTTAAACAGCAAAAAACTATTAATCTCATAATGGCAATCAAAACATATTTTTTGGTACAATTCTTTGCATGCCATTCCTCCTTACAGTGCTATATAATCACTCTACTTTTTCCTCTCATTTCAGTATCAATAAACATCTGCCTACACATTAATTCAAAAAATATTAATTAAAAACTAGAAAGTATTGGAGCCTAGCACACTGATTTAAAAGGTCTCTGTTCATATTTTTGATATCATGTCCTAGCAAAAAAACTTTTATATTTAATCCAAGTAGTTTCTTGTTAGGAAACAGCACACATAGGATGTCAAATTATTTTCAGTACAAAAGATGCACACATAAAATAGTGTAACTTAATAGCTCTGAAGACTCCTAGGCATCAGCAGGGAAGGCACTTTTCCAGTCACAGAATATTAAGCACACTGGGATTCAGCACAGCTTTGGTATTTCAACATCTTCAGTTTCTATGCAAGTGATATCCACTGATTGCCCAGTCCTGAACTTCTCCACTTGCAAATAATGCAAAGAAAATTGCTCCAAATAGATTAATAGAGGCAGCAATATAGAAAACCGTCTGCCATTCTCCCACAGTATTCTGTCAAATGGGGAAAAGAAAAAAAAATGCAGTCAATTTGCAGCGCCACACTCAAGAAAAAGTAATTTTAAAATTGATGCTACATGTCTTGCCTATTTAAATGTAAATGCCATTCAGCATGATTTCATAGCAACATAAAAGCATTACAAATATAATGCATGAAATATCAATATAGTCAACTTCAGTTTAATAATATAGCTTACACAGATAGTCCTATCAGAATTGCATTGCACTCTCTGGATCAGTGTAACATCTGAGATGCAGAACCACCAACATGAACTCAGAGAATGTTACTGTAAAAGGGGAAACACTACTTTGCTTTCAGGTCCTGTGATCCAAGAACCGAAGTTCCCTGCACTATCCAGTAAGCTATTCTTAATGATTACAACTCCAGAATCATAAGCTTTTTAGTCCAAACAAGGTAGCCACCTTAACTCAGATTTCAAGAGGAATCCTCTATGGCACTCTGTGGTACTTAAGAAAAGACTAAATAAATGCGTAGCAAAAACCTGTGATTTATTTGCCTTTTTTTTTGTTTTCTTTTCTTTTCAAATAAGGAAATAATATCTGCAGATGTCTTAAGGCTTTTATTTTTTTTTAAGTTCCAGATAACTACTGTTACAGACCTGTAAATGATCTTACTATAAAAACAGAATACCAGGAAGAGTGCATTAATATGGGGGGGGAGGAACTAAACCAAACAAAAATACCCCAAAACAACTCACTAGTTAAGATGTCTGGAAGAGATAATTTTATTGGAATAATGTATTAATGAATATTTTCCGATTATTTTTTTAGGAAATCCTTAAAATTATCTCCTACTCCAAAAATTCAACTGTATCAACAAACTTACTCCTCCCATCTCCCTTCCCTAAAAGATTTTAGAATAATCCATACAGTTCATTAAAAAATAGTAATCGAAAACTCCTCACTCCCTTTTTTTACCCAAATCATTCTTTGACTAAACCATCTTGGAAGTCAGATCTAACACTAGAATCTAGTTTCTCACTTATCTGACAAATGCTGACATTATAACTCAACAACTCATGTGAGAACCTAATACAAAAAAAAAAAAAACCAAGCAAGAACTTGTCCTAGTTTGATAAAACAATACCACAACTGTCTCATCTAGTTGGCATTTTATCAAAGTTCTACTGTGATCAAAACATATTCATTTTATTCCTAGAGAATATAAAGGGTGAGTCATAAAATTTTCAAGTCCTACACAGGCCTTCAACTTTATCTAAATTTTCCCGATCAGAATGAGAACAATAAAGGCTAGGAATTAAGTAATTCACAACAAAAAAACAATATGACTTACATGTGTAACCCAGGTCTCATTTAATGACTGTTAACTTGAGAAGACAGAATTTCCATTCAATCGAGATAAATATATAACAAGTGAAAAAAATAGCAAACAGGCTTACATTATGAGTGAGGATTTTGGCAATAACTGGCCCCACCATTCCTGGGATAGTAGCAAAAGAATTTGTGATCCCAAGGAGAATTCCAGCATACCTGCAAGAGAAGTTGTTAATGCTGCTTATTAACTTGTCCTGCTTATCAATCATGGAAATGATTTTCTCTAACCTGATCACATAGGCCTCATCTTGATCACACATAAAAATTAAAACAAATATTCCAACGGGAATTATTTGCTTTTATTCTAGTAACAACTCACTGACACTTGGTATATACATTTTTAGGGACATGGTTTAGTGGTGGACTTGGCACTGTTAGGTTAATGGTTGGGCTTGATGATCTTAAGGGTCCTTTTCTACCTAGATGATTCCATATATCTCCATTTTCCAGAGGCTAGTTATGGAATTTAACTTAAGTTGCTCATGGTTTTGCTCAAGATCCATAATCCAAACCCACATCCCCCTTGTTAAGTCACAACCAAACTGTCTGCAGTGGATGCATTGGAGCAGTTAGAGAAGACACGCTGAAGTAGAAAGACAACAAGGAGTATGACAGAGTGCTGTTCGGTAACAATGAGTTGGTTCAGGTTTCATTGCTAAAAACTTGTCTGCCAAAAAGGCAATATCACCAGTGTGGCTGGATATCTCCACTTGCACTACAGAGTGTATATTCCAAAGATAGGAGTTTAGAGTGCTGTGGCAGTCCTTCCATTCAGCTTTCTGTGGGTCAAGGCCAATTGGAAATGGGTCTGACTAAACAAGTTCTGCTGGTTGCCATTCCTGCAGCTCCATTCTGAGGCTTCCTGTTCCATGAACGTGCTGCTCTATCACACACAAATGTATGCCTATGCACCAGAGGCCATAAAAACTTGCTGGGAAAAGCTGGTAACTTGCTTAATATCTGAGTCTCAGCAGCTTATCTCTAAGTGATTAAAGATCTCCCTCACAGGCATGTTGCAATACTGAGAGTTTGAAACTGTACCGCAAGTGCAGACTTGTGAGGGAGACTGAAAAGAGTTAAAAGACAGACATTCTACAGCAGCGTTTGACCTTCCAGCCACCACAGCACAGACCCCTGTGGTTCAGATTGTCGAGGTGCATTTGCTGGCCGAAGAATCATAGAAGATACTAATAGTTGCAGTTTACCAGAGGAGAAAGGAGTCATCTCCCAGTGATCATTTTAGGCTGTTTTAGCAGAGTAAATTCTGTCCTCACCATCTTTAATGTAACAGAAATATAATTTCATCACTAAAGAGAAATTTTTAGTTTTGAAATTTTATTTACCAAAACAGGGGAATTCAACCATACATCATTGTTACAAAAAGTTGCAATATGTGTATTCATTCCAATGATATTAGAGAAACATGGGGCTTTTTAATCTGAAAAGGAATCAATTATCTAGTCTTCTAGTTGATTTTTTGCTTGAAAGTCAACACTACATATTGGTTTAGAGTATGGCAACGTATTTCAGACTGAGATCCAATGCTTTAGTTAAAGCCATCTTTATTTCTTAGAAATGTAGCATGTAGTCTTCTTATCTTGGAATGTGTTTTAGAATTAGTAGGCCTTTATGAAGCTGAATGTTAAATTGTAACAGTTTCCCTTAGGAAAATAAGCACACGTAGCAAAACTCATTTGAAAGCCTTTAAGTAGACCCACATGTACTGTCTTCAGCATGCTTAAGTACCACAATGCTACTAACGCATACTTTCTAAACTAAACATAGTTAAGAGTTTCCTTGGTCTCCAAAGATCTTTGGCAACCAATTGTTGGCTAAATGCCTCTGTTTATGCCCAGTGTTTCTGACATAAGTTGCATTCTTGATAATGCTTGCTGTTTGATGCAGATAACTGCGATGCCACTCCCTCAGCACAGTGGAGACTCCCATGTGAAAAGGGAAAGCTAAAAGTGACATGTCATTGAGCAAGACCAACAGTAAGCTGTTGGTCAGGTTCTAATGGCATAGTGGAATACCCAAATACAAATAAGCTTGCAGAGCAGTCAATTAGTACAATCAAGAGTAATAAAAACAGATATGGGTTTAGTGTATACCTGAGCCATGTGAATATTACAAGAGCTCATGGTAACAGCAATGCTAAAATTTGTAATAATGGAAAGGTACTGATGTAGACTTAAAGAGCTAAAACAGAATACATTTTCCCCACAAGAACAGTCTTGTCTCCCTCCTGTGCCCAACTCTTCCCTCCAATTCAGTACATTGATAGCATAAGAAATACATGTTAGAAACCAAAAACACATAGCAGATATTGTTTTTACTGGAGTATCAGTATTTTCATTCACTTTTTTCCTGTGAACCTAATAATGATTTCTTTGATATAATGCAAGTTTTAGTAGTAAAAAGAGACACTTTGCTATTCTAGCCGGCATACTTTTAACCAATTAAAATGAACATTTATGTGCATTTTGAGACTGCTTTGAATCACTTTGGGTTATTCTAATATCTTCCTAGAGATAAGAAAAATAAATTAAGAAAAATAAATATTGAGTTCCAAGTAAACTCTTAACAGAGGTTTTCTTCACAATTTTATGCAAACACCATTTTTAGCTTTCTAAAATTATGTCAAGCATTTCCTTGAAATTGTGGATGTCTGCCTTGACCATTTCATCCAACAAAAGTCAGACATTTGCAAAAAGTTAAGTAAGGGGTGGTGGGGGGAGGAAACACAGTCTTCTTTTTCTTCTCATCTTAGATGTTTTTGCACTTCTGTATTTGACAAAATTTTTCAATATGACCTTTGTTACAAGGACATGCTTTTTACCTTCTCGGTCCTCATTTGGACAGATTTACCCTGAATTAAAACATGCATGTGCTGAATAGAAAATCACTGATTTAAGTAAAACAGCATCCATCCTGACCACATCGCCATCAGAGGAAGTTTTCCCACATATGCAGCTGTTTGCCTCTAGAGGCAATGCCAGGCCAAAGTTCCTGAACTATCAGCAAGACCCTTCCCTCTTCTGCACCCATAATCAATCTGCTCCTTTCTGTCTTAGAGGGAAGAAGAGCTGAGAGAATTTGTCTAGTGTAAATGTAAATGCAAAGGGAGTAAAAGCAGGACTTTATCGAGGGCAGGAAGAACAGAGTGGTATTTGGTCAGTGGGATCAGCAGCAGTTCACATGGGGAATCTAACTATGCCTCCTGACATTCATCAGCATCGCGTAGCATCATTTTCTTCTTGTGTCTTTTTTCAACACCTGAAATACACTCTGTGCTGTCATATACAAATTGACACTTGAAATAAACACATTTGAAATGCAAAGTATCTCAAATTAGAAAACATGCACAACATCCTAGTTTGAGAAACCTCAGCCATCACCTGCATACAAAAGTTCCTCGTGTGTATGTCTCACAGAGGCACGCACTACAGTTGCATGATTTCCTTTTTCCTGTCACAGCTCTGTTGCATTCTGTGGACATGATAAATGTTAACTCACTTAACAAGCATCACTTAATATATTTTTTGGAAATTACCTGTTGTAGTTCTGCAAAACTAATCTTGAAACAGAAGTTGTGTAATGGCTCAGTAATACCCCAGATGCATCGCTTTAACTACATCTTCTAAATTTGTAATTCCATGTGATTTGAAACAAAGTGCATCACAGAAGCTATTCTTACTTTCAAATGTAACTCGTAGCACAAGCTGGCTATAGCTGGCCACTGATGCCTCCCCTCTTGCTTGCTACCTAACCTCACCTGTCAAGATTAATTGGGTTCCCACTATTTCACATCCATTTGTTAAGTCAAAACTTGTCCATCCTTTTGAACATGACCACCATCTTTTTTATTGCCAAAGCCTGGATACCACCTCCAACTGAGACCTGAGGTCTCCCTTATAAGTTGTCTAGATCTTCAGAACTTTTTATAAGTAACATTTTTATAAAATGCTTTTTCTTTCATTTATACTTAAAGTCTTTTCATTTTACACATTTATACAGAAACACACTCTTCTTTGGACATTAAGTCATTTGACCCTGTTCATATCTAAGTGCTACCACAAATAGGTAAATGAATGACAAAGCAAAATACTTGAGCTTTGCCAGCACAAAGAATGCTTATGTGCACTTTCAAAAGAATATACACGCATCCATAGTCTTTGGGAAACTGATGGATCTGTCAGATTCTGAATTTGTAACACACTGGAGAAATTACAGCCTGAAGTCTTAGTCATTCCAGAGCATTTGCATGTACCTGATTTGTCACCTACTGACAACAGGTCACTTACTCATAACAAGATTTGATTTGTTTTCCAAATGCAAATAATTTACCTGTATCACAGCGCTTAAATATGGTAATGTTCATGCTAAAGATTGATAGCTCTGATGGAAAAGTTTAAAGGAGTGAAACACTTAACTGCATTGTGCTGTTCAAAAAACTCTGTCCTATTAAGATCATAAATCAACCAGGAAAAAAATTTAGCCAGTATAATTACAGGAATTATATAATTTATTACTGCAGGATAAAAGCTGGAATGATTCTAAACTGTTGTTTATATTACATTCCCTGCAAAGTTGCACCTTTTGCAAATACAGTGCTTAATACTGTAAACCCAAGTAATTGTCAGTGTTGACACTCCAGGTCTGTATGGCACATGGTCCATAGCTACATTTTCAAGGCACCTCAGCAATGCATTAAAAAAAAAAAAAAAAAAAAAGGGGGGGTCATAAATGTTTCCCATGCACTACCAATAGCTTCAGCAATACTTACGAAGGTGCTATGTCCAGGTGGTTGATGCTGTAGCCAGATGTACAAAATCCTCCTAGTGTTGTCGATATGGTCACAAAAGCAACAGCCAGTGCGTAGTTGCAGCCTATGAATCCAGCTGCTACTAAGAACAACGCAGGTCCAATCATTCCTGTAAGACAGAAACCTTCCGATCAATGGACTTTTACCACGAGCGACACTTGAAGGCTCCAGGCTGTGCGTACGTTTACGTTTTCCATACAACTCCCACCGCCCCCTGGCGTGCAGAACACAGCTCTGCACCGCACGTGTAACAACGGGACAGCAAAGGATCCTAAATGGTTTGGGTTGGAAGGGACCTTAAAGACCATCAAGTTCCAACCCTCCAGCCATAGGCAGGGACACCTTCCACTAGATCAGATTGCTCTAAGCTCCATCCAGCCTGGACTTGAACACTTCCAGGGATGGGGCAGCCACAACTTCTTTGGGCAACCTGTTTCAGTGCCTCATCATCATGCTCACAGTAAAGAATTTTTTCCTAATATCTAATCCAAATCTACTCTCTTTCAGTTTAAAGCCATTCCCCCTTGTCCTATCACTACATGTCCTTATAAAAAGGAAGAGCAGATGGGTTCCAAACCTATTGCTGTCTCAGGAAACAGCAGACAGATAAGAAAAATTCCACTCTAGCTGGAAAGAACAAACTTGAACTGCATAAAAAAAAATAACAAAAATCAACAGATACTGAAAATTACTTCACAAATTAGTTTTATTTATTTTTATAAATAAATTGAAACTACACTGACACTGGTAGGTAAACAGTGCACAGTGAAGAAATTACCTGCATTTAACTCTCCAGGTTAAAGGAACAAACACTGACTTCTTCAGTTCATAATAAAGTTGAGCTATATATATATGCACATATTTCTCCTGCAGGCACATTCTATAGTTAGCTTTATTTTACATTTACAAAATCTGAGCGCCTGGTATACCTACACCAGAGCCTTCAGCACAATATAGAAACCCTAGGTTAGCTTGAGAGATACCACATTGCGTAGTGGAAATAGTTTCTCAGCCATCATGAGCTAACACATGCTGCGTTCTGTTTGCAGCAACTTTGGTACTCATTTCCCAGTACCACAGGCCATTTACATGCCCCCATCATGACCTCTGTAAACAGCTCCAAGTGCATGCTTTTGTTGATCAAGACAACCTAAGTCCTGCTTTTCCTAACACAACAATATGTTTCCTCCTGAGTTATACATGCATGGGTATGAGGTGTGAGGCCCTGTAGTAAACTGAATCACCTGAAAGGTGTAAGCTTAAAACAAACAAGTAAAAAAACGCCTGAGAGCTTACTATAAGAGCTGCTTTAAAGAAAGCAATTGAATCAGCTGAATTGAGAAGCAGCAAGAATGGCCATACATCAAACAGGCTTCAACTTGAGTGTATCCTGTGCCTAATCTCTCTTTATTTTTTAAAATTCTTTCCTTTGCCCCCTCTTCTGTGTAGCAATCAACTTCTCTTTCCTAAATACAGCCGTTTACAAAACACTGAACAGCACAGAGTTGGGAACAGGCTCATGCAGAACAATATCCTGGGTTAGTCTGATAAACCTTGTTTGATAACAAGGTTTCATTCTGTCAAGCAATTATCTCCCCTTTTATGGTGATTTTACCTCACCATTAATTTGATTGGTTTGCTTGTAGTAATGCTGTATCATGACCTAAACAAAGCTTTTGGCAATCCCTTATCATTCTCTTATCCAAGAGACCTACATTTCATGGAAAAAGACAGGATTTACTCTTGACACATTAACGTACAAATAAAGTTCCCTCTCTCGAGTCATGCACAATGCTGCCTCATCTCACAGCAGAATGTCAGACTACTCTCCCAAGTCCTTTATTTTCCCCAGATTGTTCTTCTTATTATATGTTCCAAGTGCTGATAGTTGCACCTACCTATTAGGGTAAAACATTTGCGAACACAAACGGTGGAGAAGTTCTGTTTTTCCCGTAAATAATCAGCAATTTGCCCAGACAGAATTATACATAACCAGCAGCCAAAATAAGGTAGGGCAGACAAAAATCCATTCTGTTAAGGAGATTAAAAAAAGATCATTAAAACACTGAAATAACAAATCAATATGCTAAAAAATCACTTGTGGTGCAACATGAACTGAGACTGAACCAGAGATGTCAAAACCATCCATCCACATAATTATTGTTGGTATCATAGAAGAGAGAAACCTATGGATAGAAAAAGCAAAGCATATTAAAGTTACCAATATGCAAACTCTCCACTGCATGATGTAATCCATAACTACCAATGCAGACAGACACAAAACTCAAAGGTTTAAATCAGCAACAGGGTTCAGGAAAAAGAAAACTACAACTGAAGGCATCGTGTGGACATTAACCTGATCATGAAAGTTTCCAGAAACACCAATATCAAGCGAGTTACTAAATTAAGTGGAAGCTGGAAATACTATTCAGAATTTTGTAACCTATACAGAATCTCTGTATATATATATATTATATTATATATATATATATATACACACACACACTACTGTAAGTCTTCCACATTACATTATTCCATATCTATCTACTGAAAAATCTGATGCTGGCTGTAAACAGAGACAAGATACAAAACTAGGACTTTCATCAGATCCAGCCTGGACATCCCATGACCCCAAAGTAGAGCTATTATTCATGACCTGACATTACTTACACTGAAGTCACCAATTAATTCCCATTACTTTAAATAAGTACTGTTTAGAGACTTCTGCCTGATTCTGGATGTTTTTGGGATGAAGGGAAACAGAAGATACTACTAACCTGCATATGCTTACAGCCTCTCCATACAATTATGGATAATTACTGATAAGAGAGCTATAATTTGACCTAATCTGTGATTAAAAAGAGGTATTTGAATAGAAATTCTCTAATCTTTGTACACTAGTATGAGATGTATATTTGTCAAGACATGAAATAACCCCTAGGAATTTCAATTTGAAACACATCCCCAGCTGAAGTCCACTTTATCAGCACTCACACATGCTGCCAGTTGGGCTTCAATGCTCAGCTTTCAAAAACAGTAAGTAAAACTTTGCAATATAGCAGACAGTCTCAGAAATTAAAAAATTACTTTTTTTAAGCACTATTCAAAGACACAGCATTATTTTTAACCAATTCCTTTATTTTAGGAAGGAAACTGATGAACCATAGAGTAGCAACTGTATAATATTTTAAACCATAACGTATTTTCCATCTAAATGTGTGGTAACAAAGTTAGTCCAAGAATATTATGAAGGATTTTTTTTTAATGTTCACAACAGCCAGTAGTACTCTAAGTCACTCCTAAAATAAGAAATGTAACCCACAGACACAAGAAACCACTTCACAGCAGAACCTGTTACGATTTAGTGCAACTGCATTTTACAAAACACATGCAACTGAGAGCTGTGGTAGCAAATGACTTTCTCAGGTATTCCCTAAAGAGGTAAAATAAGGAACGCAACCAGTAACTTCATTTTTTCCAGCCATTTTTGCATCTTGTCCTACTGCAACCTTCTTTTCTAATGCTAAGATCACCCATCTTCTCAAGATCACTGGCATCACCTCTTCCTAGCATGGCATGCATTTTCTGTTTGCTCTAAAGCAGTCTCACATGTTAAACCAGGAAAAGACTATGTTAAACTTCTTGAAATTTCTGAGCACCTTTTTACTTGAGCTATAGCAGTTTCTACAGGTAAACATCACCCAAACTGTCCCATTAAAGACAGACCAGTACAGTCAAGTAATTGCTATAAAAAAGAATGCCTCCCCCATCCCATAATTTTTCCCTGGTAAATAATTTAACTTTTAAACATTTCCTTGAAAAGCACTATATCTGGACCTTAAGTTGTTTTGGTTTGTTGTTTTGTTTCATGCTTTTTACCTCAGTAAGAAAAGAGATTTTGCCTCTGCTGCTCATTGAGGAAAGAAAGTGACAATTTGGAAAGTGATCCAAATCAGACTGAAGCTTCCCCCATCCCTTTCTCTTCCCCTTCTACTCCCTCCTTCTTAAAATACTTTCAAAAATGCCACTTGTCCAATAGTTTCCTTTGTTTGACTTTTCTTTTTTGACTGGAAATGTTCTCCTTTATGAGTGAGCAAAGGAGTAGGTAGTATTTTAGAGGAGGGTATAAAATCTGAAGCAATCACAGAAATCATGTAACAGGGAAAAATATTTTTATAGTTACTGTTTTAAAACAGGACAGTTAAAGATGAGTAACATGCATCTTCAATCAGAAAAATTAGCTCGAAAGCTAGGACTAAGCTAAATGTCAAATAAGTCAAAAAAGTGGAAATTATAAGGCAGGCAACATTTTTAATGTATCTGCTTAATTGTGTGGGGTTGTAACTTCCCTGCTGTACATTTACATTCCAAGGCTCTTAAATGGGTTCCTCTATTCTAAACAGCAGGAAGATCTCTGCTGTTCAGTTTCTTTAATTCAGAAGAAAGTGATTATATTCGTATTTATCTCACCTCCTGTGCATCAAATCGCAGGATCTCCTTCATGTATGTGGGCAAGAGTGTAAGAAGTGTATAGAAAGTCCAGTTGTAAGAGAAGTGTGCCACAACGATAGCCCAGAGTGGAAGGGACTTCAGCATAGGTCTCCAGGGAACAGATTTCTGTGTGGAAAGCTAGCAAGCAGAAGACAGAGAAGAGAAAAAGCAATCAGGACACTGATATGAACATTTACTAAATACAGTGTTTTGATGCTACCCGAATCTATGCTGATCATCCATTCCACGAAATGAGTCTCAGTTGATAGATGCAAGTTATCAGCAATGAAGTCTCAATGAAGATATACTAATGTATGTTACTGCTCTGATGTTTACTACTGCAAAGTAAACCAACTACTATTACATTTTGTAATCAGAATTTCTAAGAGTAAGCCTTCCCTTGTTGAAGTTTGATGCCTGCTGCTTTTACAGTAAATCATTAAATATTTAGTCACCTCTCAGGTGTTTACATAGCTGAATCTTTCTTACTCAATCCTAAATATTAATTTTGATCTCTCAGCCAGCTTCACTGTCTGTAAATATACGTCCCCAGTCAAAGGAATAAACTCTTATTCAAACTTTAGGAACTGGCTCATTAGCATTTTTTCTGCAAACAGTAATTTCTTTCTTACTCTAGATGACACGTTCAAAAAAAAAGTTGCAAAATATTGTATTGCAAATGTTAAAGGCATCATACAGGTTTGGATGTAGTATAAAGTGATAGATCTGAACTTTTTTAAAATAAAAAGCTTTTTAAATAAAGCTCTACAACGTCTGTAACAAAAGACATTATAAATGCTTTGTTTGATTATTGACTGGTTTTCAGTTATACAACTGCACTATTTTTTAAATATTTTTTGTTTGAAAAATTCTGCTTCCATCTTAGGTTAAGAACGTTATTCTATACATAAACAGAGCATGATGCTAATGACAATATTTGTGGTTTATGTTCTGACTTAAGTAAGTCTATACTGAATGCTGTACCTGATCTTTTAGAGAAGACAGTATATATTCTCTTTCAGCATGTGAAATGCTCCTGTGAGTTTCTGGTGTATCACTAACCAAACCCATCCAGAAGAACCACCATAATACGCCAAGTGCACCTATTGTTGGGAAAAGATGAGTGAAGAGACAGAAATACAAAAAATAAGCAATTAGAATGAGTGAAACGATATTATCGACTCTCAAGATGATTTAGTCTGAAGTGTTTTCTCAATACTCCAATATAATTTTAAGGGACATTATTTTTGTACCTATTTAGAAACACTAGTTCCCCAAAGTGGCTTAACAATGCACATATAGAGATAATAAACAATGAAGATGACTAAGCAGAATTTTTTCTTCTGGTTTTTTTTTTCCTCTTCCCCCCCCCACTTGAAGTGCTTCAAACAACAAGAAAGTTGCGTACACTTACATATTTATTTATATTTTTATCAGTCACATGGAACACAAAGAATATGGCTCACACAAAGGAAATAAAAATTCAAATACTTTGAGCACATACACAGAATACCACTACATACAGTTTAACCGATGTACCAATCATCCTCTTCTTCCTTAAGCCAGCCCCAGAACTGTCATTTAAAAAAGGTAACTTTTCAATAGTCAGTCTAAATTAACTGCACTTTTCTGTAACTGTAACATTTTAACTTTTTTAATTTTGTCCAATTCTTGATTTGAATCCTTTTAATTTATAAAAAATTCGAGGTGGTTTTGTTGAGGAAAGTGTACCCTTTGTCTTTTATTCCAATTCTTCCTTTCCCACGCAGAATATGAAACAGCTCAGACATGTAAATAGACCTGTAAAAGCATTAGTTCATTCTATAACATGCCCTTAAAAACTATTTTCTGTTTGAGCTTCTCCTAGAACATGTCACAGTAAACATACTATGCTTTGCATTTTGGGCATTCCTTAGGGTTCCTGTGACTGCTAGAGAGGGATTTTCCACAGTTTCCATTTTAAGTAGCAGTAACTTTTCACACGTTCTTTCATTCAGAGAGGTTTATTCCTAGGATTAAAGCTATTAACTCAATTTCACACTTCAGATAAGAAATTTCAGGCTGTTGTTTCCAAGGGATGGGAGAGTTAAGAGCATTTGACTTGTACCAACTTTTATTCAACTCAGAGACAGCTTTGCTCATTGGAACCAAGGCTTATATAGCCACTTACTGGAATCTACTTAGTTTTAAATATCTCTAATTGCCCAGAGGGAATAAAATAGCAACCCAACATGTCAAACAAGCTTTTAAAACTTAAACTAAGTTTAACAATATGCAATGCTTTTCAAAAAGAACATGCATTGTACTTTTGATAATTAAGAAAAATCAAAGCACAAACTCACCAAATATGTAGAACACATAAACCCAGTTCATGTAGTAGCAAATTAAACCAGATAGTGGCAGAGAGACAACAGTTCCCAGCTGTGCACCTACCGGAAGAAAGCAAAACAAAGTGGAAAATCAGATCCCCTATGGGCCCCTTAAGTATAAGTGGCACTTCATAGGTATTTTATTTTTCTGTAATAAATCATGCATAAAGATTTGTCACTACCACTAGAGATTTGCACTTTGATTTAAAGAAACACGGGCACAATAAGCTGCTTTGGCAGCTCCAAGCAAACAGAGACACAAAGCCCTAAGCAGCCAAAATCAGAGGGAAAGAGCAATAACAGATGAGCATTCTTAGCACACTTGTCTCCAATAACGTGATGGCTCTAATACATCCAAAACAAAGCAAATTAGTTAACTGGTATGGCTGCAAAACAAGAGAGAGCTGATCACAGTATAATTAAGAATTTGGGGGTATAATATTTTGACTTAATATAATCAGTTTGTATTTCTTACATCTCCTACTAGATCCACAAAACCCAGGAATGCTAGAAACAAGAGTCAGAAGGCATCCATATATAATCAGCAGGTTCAAATTCCATGATCCCTTAATTCCATGGTGTAAGATCAGAAAAGGAAGAAGGGAAAGAGGAACACATTACAGTTCAGAAACAAGCCAAAAGCCAGAAAGAGGTATTCCTGTGCTTATAATGCAACATACATTTTGCAAAGGATGCTAGGTGTTTCCCTCTCCCAAATCTAAATCAGAAATCCAACTCATATTATTTATATACTTAGAAACTCTACTAATGATAAACAGTAGATCTTGTCTCTTAATGTTAGTTGTATAATCAATTCTCCAAACCTAATCTCAAATCAGAAAACATTAGATTATTTTGATATTCTGGCTACCTAGATTCCATCTTCATAGAAACAGTAATTTTTATTTGAGGCAGAAAGTTTCAACCACAAACAACAAAATCACATTCAAAATATAAATCAAAATAACAAGTACACACAACCTCAACCATATTTTCGCAGAAAATCAACAAGATCACAAATAAATTAACCACAGACCACATGACTGCCTAGCGCAGAAAGGAAACAGTCTGCCAAGTTTACACAAGACCCTTAACCACCCATGACTGCTAACAATTGGCTGTTCAGGCCCACAAACTCTTCTCACTAGTACATTAGCATACAGTTTCACAAAATACAAAAGGACAGTTTAAAAACTCCCAACTGCTAAATGTCATAGAAGTCAATCCCAACTCTGTGCCCTCTGCTTAACTTGTGTGTTGGGTCTCAGTTCTTTGGAAGCAGATTTAATAAAGTACTAAAGCAGAAAACAGATACAGGAATAAAAAAAATAAAAAAACAAAAGAGAGGAAAAAAGTTTTCTGCTGCATTGGGAGGGTTTAAAGTGTCTTGTTGAAGGGTCTCATGAGTGCCTGAAATAGCAAAAAGGAAGGAACTAGACCCTTGGCTAGGGGGGAAGTGAGGAAATGTGAGGAAGAAAGGATTAGGGCTTCATTCCTCTTGGCACAAGTGAGTCACTGGACTGGCTTAGGTGTTTAAAAAAACTGTAGCTGAAGTTTACATGGTACAGTCCTGTCTTCTTGATGAACCCTAGGCTGAAAAGCTGCAGCAAGTAATACTAACAGGAGAGAGCAAAGCAAAGCCATTACTTCATTAACTGAATGCAAAATTTGTCATCCTCAAAGAAATAATATCAGTTATGACGACTAGTATGTTAAGAAACCTATGTGTTTTGCCTGCTCCACAATTGCAGCGTTGAGCAATGTGGCTGACCACGAAATCCTTAAAATGCAAGAAGGCTCAGTGGAGATGCCAAGAGCAATATGACCATTAAGCTCAGGGAATAGCACAGGGTGTGACTAACCATACCTCCTGCAAAGAGGCTGATTTTATCTCAACAAAAGGGGACAGAGTGTAGCCTTTGTTTTAGATAAGCAGCTATGTCAGTCGAGTGGATCTGATGGTGTAAATGTTTCTCCTCCTTCAGTTCCTTAAAAGGGTGACTGTCTCCCTGAATTAGCCAGATCAACGCGAGGGAAATGAATACGTGGGTCAGCCCAACACAAACTATAAAAGCTAAGCAACTAAGAGCAGCATTTCTGAGAGAAAACAGACTTGAAAGCTGCCTTCAACTCATGCATATATGGCAATTGATATATTTTGCTAAGTGTACATTTGTACTGTTCTTTCAGTATGTTCTGTATCACTCTGCTAAAAGAAAAACCCTGTATAACATCAAATATCTTCAAGCAAGTAAATTTGATATCAAACATTCCACCTTCCAGGCATAGCATATCTAAGAGAATCTGGTCTGGGAGCATTGGACTTTAACAAGGAGCTCTTCCAGCAACACCTGAAACCTTGAACATTTTCTTCCCTATATTCTTCCAAAAACACTTAAAAAACACAAAAAACAATCAACCAAACATTTCTATCCTGTGACTGCCCTCGCTTTTTTGTTCCTAATATTCTTTACAGTATCTTCTATTAATCAGCTTCTCAGTAACTCTTTGCATCACTTTAAACCAAAGTTAGGCTGAAGATTATACTTAGTTGCAGATCAATACCTTTTCTCAGGGTTGTAAAAGCCATGAATAGATGAAGATAACCAATGCAAAGCAAGACCTAATTTAATGTTATGCTTTCTGGATTAAATGCTGATTAAAATTTACAATATAAATCCCTTTGATTTAAGTCAATCCTCCCTGTTACTGCAATAAAAATGTATAATCCCATTATCAGCGTGGGAATTTCTCACCTGCATATGAAATACTAAGGAGCTTGCTGCGTTCCAGTGGAGGAGCCCAAGAAGACCACATTGAATGCATAGCTGGGAAGGTAACACCCTGCAAAACATTTCATTTGGTTGAAATGCAAGAATTTTAGAACTCCCTTCAACTTTACGTTTCAAAGCTTATTTTATTTAAAAGCAGCAGTACAATCTACTAAGTTTCTTGTTTAGCAAGAAACTACTTATAAAAAGTGTGCGAGGCATGAAAATAAGAAGACAGAATTAATTTCTCCTGGTTTTGATTCTGTATATAATGGAAAAGCAGCAACAATACAAACAATAATGTTCTGAGGTCCTGTTTTATGGAAAATGGGAAGGGATAACTCTAGTTTTGACCCAACTGTCCTTACAGATAAAACTTCTTTCTTATTTGAAAAGCTTAGGCTAAAATATAGTGCAAATTTTTTAATTATTCAAAAACCCCCAAAACTAAGCCACTCAAACAATCCATATACTACTCCATCATACCAACACCCACAGAGTCCAATCACTAAAATTCATTAATAAATTATTCAGATACATTTTCAAGTTGCATAGAGAAAAAGTATTACCTCTCCCAGTCCTTCCAAGGCTCTGACAGCTATGAGGTAGCCAACTCCCAAGTTTGCAGCTAAGGGAGTAAGCAAGGTGAAAACAGAGGTACCAAAGATGCCAAACCCCAGCAAAAGCTTCCCTCCGATTTTGCTTGCAAGATATCCTCCTGGAATCTGAGTAATGATATAGCCATAGAAAAAAGAACCAAGAATCCATCCCTGAGTATCAGCATCCCAAGAATACTTTTCCCCCTAAAAAGAGAAAAAAACCAACAAAACACAGCAAGTTCAAAATAGCAGTTTTTCTGACCATATTTTATATAACACTGATCCATCACTTAGTCCTTTATAACTGAGTTTCAAATTTTTTGTGGCTTACTCCCTAGGGTCTCCTTCCTCTACACACATCTATCTTTACTGCAATTAAACTTGTGTTAAAAGCTAATTCAGGTAGTTTACAATCTGTTCAGACATATCAAGACCAAGCATGAGAATCATCACAACATGAAATTTAAGTGCTCAGGCAGTTCTCCCTTTCTGAGTTCCAAGCAGCTTAGGATAGGAGACAGGTACAGACTACGCAGTCTGCCTCAGTGCAAGTCCCACTTCTGTATCACAGTGGGGACATTCTGTCGCGCTCTAGAAAATGGCTTTACCTGCAGAAAATTTATGGACAAAAAAAAAACAAACAAGGAGATGAAGGTGCTTAAATTTAATATAAAAAAAGAGAGCAGCCAAGGACAGGACTCAAAAGGGTAGGTGGAATAATGGCATAAGCACTAGAGAGGGAAGATGGTTTTAGCAGACAAAGTAATAAAAGCGAAGAGGATCAAAACAAGGAGTCTGCAGCTATAAAGGAAGTCAGCAAGAAGATATGGACTGTTGCCCAGTAAAGTGATTCTGAAGTTTGGAATCACTTCCAAAAGAAAAAAATTTAAGCATCTAAATGAGCAGCATAGATTTCACAGAAGCAATCTTCCCATAAAGTTCACTGTTATCATTTGTGATAAATAATAAATGACCTCTAAACAAGCAAAAAAAATGAAAGCAAGGAGATGCTAAGAGTGCCCAGTAATAACTTCAGCTATGAGATCTATACAAGCCAAAATTCACAAAGTTGAGGGGTTTTTTTAAAAGCTTTTTTTTTTTAATATCCAACAGATATAAATGTGATTTTAAGAATTACTGGAATGGAAGTCAGAAATAAAGGACATAAAGACAAAAAACATGATCTGGGAAAGAGATGAAAGAAGTGAAATGAAAAATATTACATGTTAATTTGTAATGAAATTTCATGCCATTATGACTGTATGAAGAACAGGCAAATGTGGACATTGATATGAGCTCTGACGCAGATATAACAGTAACAGTTGATCACTGGCATATAAAACACTGAGTCACGACAGATCTACAGGGACAGATTAGCCAATTTCTAAGGAACAGCACAGGAAGGAGGTATATAAAAAACCTAACCCTGAGGGCAGCACTCCTAAATTAGCTAGTCATTTAAAGCTTGTATTTTCAGAATAGCCTTAAAAGAACCACTGGAAAGGCCATCCAGCAAAAAGCAGCCTGTTCTCTTGCCACCTCAGTGTGATTCTATCGATCGCAAACTTCTACTAAAACCACTCTTACATGCCAGACTACAGAACAGTATGTTCGAGACCTCACCGTTGTGTTGCGAGGAACATTTATGGTTGAAGAATGCTCTGGACACACATTGGAAGTCACATTCTTTGCTAAGCTTGTGTTAGGTTCTACCATATCCACCAGAGCAACGCTTAGGTTCACACGTAAGGCATAGAGGAGGAAGAACCCCAAACAGGCCAGGAGCGCTAGGTTGTAACGAGCTGAGCAGCATGTGGGGACTGAAACGAGAGCAAATGAAAAATGTTTGTTTTAACAGAACCTAACAAAATAAGAACAACTGATAAGCAGTTTTTACTAACGGTCTTGGAAAAAACAGAGAAAGGAGACAAGCTAATTTTTCTTAAGGGGTTTATTCAATAGGGGATGTGGCTGAGTGTGTTTGGGAAAAAAATTTTAAAAAGCCCACTTTTGGACTGATGTGCAAAACTAACGTAATCTTGGTTTAGACAACTGGCAGCTACCCACACAAGAGCAGGGGCTGCAGTGGTAGTCTACTGTGTGGTCTGTGGAAATGGATTTTGAAATATAGTTTCAAACATCCTCTCCAAGATACTGTAATAGTTATTCAAAGTAGAACTTCACACTTAAAAAAAGCCCCAATCCAAATTACCAAGAAGCCTGCCATATACACGAAATGCCTCGAGAAAACAGATACTCTTAAAATAGTGGTAAAGAATAGTCATTGTGATTCCAGGCTGTTTTCTAGGACAAGTCTTCCTTCTATAAGTTTGCTTATAAGGGAATATGCATTTGCTGACAGTTGCCAAACAGACCAAACTACCAGAAAGGGGAATGGCAAATACTGTGTTAGCACTGTGAAACAGAACAGTTTCTTGGTTGTCCCTCTTGGCAACCACCACACAACAAACACAAAGGAAAATGAGTCTTAAGATTCAGCATAAAATGCGTATTGTGACATTAAGTCGACTCGGCCAGCTGTTTTAACACAGATATCAGACTTTGCACCGTAACACAGTAATTGATTTCCTAGTACAGTAGTACACAGCACCATTTGGCAAAGATCACAGTTGAGCTGTAACAGTTTAAAGCTCTGCAGTTACTCTTTATGAACTGGGAATGCTTCAAACCTACTGAGCAGAAATATCAAACTGTTGAGAAACCACTTGAAGAACTTACTGGATTTACAAATAGTTAGGGGGTTAAGTTTTCCCTCTTATGAGGGAACTACGGTGCTAATGAAAAATTTTATAACCTGGATCTGAAGCTCCAGGAAGACAGGGGATCAGCATCTACAGATATTACATCAGTCTACAGTGATCTCATCTTCCTCTGACTATTCAGAATTCAGATGGTGAATAGAACAAGTACATCTATGAACAACAGGACTGACTGGAGCTTCATCTGATACCGCAGCATGTCACTTGACTGGATTCTCTAATCCACAGGAATAAACAAAGAGCATGCCATGTGGTCAAGGTAATGTGATACTTTCCCCTTCCCAGTAACTTCCCTGAAAAAAGGAATGAGCCTGTGCAATTTTATTTTTCAGTGGGAACACGAACAGAGCCTTTCTGCAAGACTGTTTTTCATGGAAATTAGTGGAAATTTCCCATTTTTGAAGTCTCTAACCCTGACAAACTTTATGTGAAGTTCATTATAGCTACATAAGTTGTTGAAATGACACAGGGATGTTGTATTTGCTATGTTCGTTTAGTAAATAAGTAATAAATGAGGCTGTTGTATAAATATGCAAAACCCCTTCCAGACTGGCAATAATTGCAATCTTGCCTCAGCAGCATTTGAAAAAGGCATACTGGATTTTTAAATGACAAGAAGGAGAGCAGCCAAGATTTGATTGCTTACTTTAAAAACAATAGGCACCAAGAACAGGAAGTGCTTACTGCACAAAAACTAGTCAAGCAGCTTGGTTGTCCTTTACTGTTGTTTAAAAAGCAATTTGCCTTAAGTAGAAAATGTACAGTCATATAATTTATAATAATGAATATGAATACAGGTAAAGCTATTTAACCATTCCATTTCTTGTACTTGCTGGGGTTAGACAATAATAACAGAAGACTGAATATCATAATGATGATGTAAACCTTCCTTGGAAATGCAGATTTTTTTTTCAACTGTAAATAGTTTATTATAAAAACCTAATAAACATGTAGATATGAAAGCCTGAAACAAACAGCTACTAAATTACTACTTCCCTGTCATTTCACTAAGTGCATTTGTAATAGCTGAGAATATTAGATCAGGTAAATAGAACAGAAGATTCAAGAAGATTACAGATGTGTTTCAGCCACCCACCTCTTCAGGAGATTGGTATAATCAAAGAGAAACAGACATGCACTCCCCCAAAGTTTAAAGCAGTTAACCATTATGTTCAAGGTCTTACCTTGACTAGCAGCCTTTGGTCCTACATCTATAGTTAATTCTGATTTCAGGGGCATGTTTTAAAGTACTGTAGCTATAACTGAACAAGATTCTTAAACTGCAGTTAAAAAATAGGTCTGTGCTTCAATTGCACAGCAGTTAAAGGAAGTTACTGCTCTGCTGTATTTTTCCTTGTGGGTGAGGTGAAACACCTCCAACCGGAGCCTGATGCATTGTGCAAACTTAAGAATATGTTGCTTTAGTAAGACTTGAGCTCAATTTTCTCTGCTTCTGTCACTTATTATTAAGTCATTTTGTTAGCAGCTCCCCTTGATGCAGTCATACATTTGCTCAAGTAGATTACAGCATCTTTGCACGGCATCCTGAAGAAGCTAAAAATCTTTTTACAGTTTATACATTCCAGGAAACAAAACAGTGCAGACAACCCCCTAAACACGCCAGCTCTGTTCTCAAGCTTTGACCCCATAAAGAGCCTCCTCTCCTACAACTACGTCCGTGCCTCCTTCCACCTTCCTCCCTCTCCATGTTTTCATAATAAGCAGTAATCTTACTCAAACTCTGCTTTGAAATGAAATTCTGCCACGACCTCGCAGTCTTTAATAGTTAGACGGCACTTGGGCTGGAATTGCCCGCTTGTCTTCACTGCAAGGACACCAACCCGAAGGCAGGTGTGTGACAGCAGTGCCTCCCCACAGCCACCCACAGAGCGGTGACCGCTGCCGGGACGCGGGGCCGTGTCTGACCCGACGGCCCTGGGCCCGACCCCCGGGCCCTCGGCGGCGCTCTCGGCCCGCGGCTCCATGGCAACGGGACGCCGCCACACAAGGGCAGCCGCCGTTCCTCTCACCCGTGCCGGGCTGGGACTCCTTCAGCAGCGGGGTGCGGTCCTCTCCCTCCTCGGGCTCCATCTCGCTGCTGCCGCTCGGACCGCGCAGCGCGTCCAGGGCCAGGGAGCCCGGCGCCACCGTTGCTGCCGGGAGCCCGGCCCGGCTCGGCTCGGCTCGGCTCCGCTCCCGGCTCGGCTGGGCTGGGCTGGGCTGAGCTCAGATCCCGGCTCCGGCTCCGCTCCCCGCCCGCCCCGCTCTGCCCCGGCGGTGCCGGGCACCGGCGGCCGCAGCCCCCTGCGGTCACGTGACGGGCCCTGCCGGGCGGAAGCGGCTTCATCCGCAGCGCTGCTGGCTGGCTGGCTGGCTGCCCACGGCGGCCATCTTTGGTGAGGGCGGGCGCTGCTCCCGAGCCCGCCCCGGTGCCGCTGAGTGAAGGGGCCGCAGGGACGCGCCGGCGAGCGGCGCTGTCGCTGTGCGGGCTGTCCCCGCTCCTGTGGGAGAAATTTGTCATATCTAGGGCCGATCTGATCAGGCGGATCACGTCCTCCCTTCCCCGGGCCGCCCAGGCAGTAGCCGTGGCTGTGCTCAGCGAAGGCGAGGGGCTGCTGGGGGCGGCTGCTCTGCAGCACCACGGGCGGGGCGGGGAAGGCTCGGGATGTGGACACCTAGGACTGTGTAACCATCGAAGCGCTAATGTAACAATAATTGAAATATCTGCGGCACAGTGGCCTTTTACTCTGTGTGCGTGCGCAGTGCCCGATTCCTGGAGTGAGGCTTTAGAATCATAGAGTCATATAGTATTTTAAGGGATTGGAACAGACTTTAAAAGATCTTTGAGTCCCAACCCCCTCTGCCATGGACAGGGACACCTCCTGATAGATCAGGTTGCTCAAGGATTTATCCAGCCTGGCTTTGAACACCTCCAGCGTTGGGGCATCCACAACCTCCCTGGGCAGTCTGTTCCAATGTCTCACCACCCTCACATTAAAAAGATTTCATCCTATTATCTAAAGTAAATTTCCCCTCTTTCACCTCGTACCCATTACTCCTTGTCCTATCACTACAATTCCAGATGAAGAATCCCTCTTAGCCCCACTTCAGATACTGGAAAGTTGCTATGAGGTCTCCATGCAAACTTCTCCAGGCTGAACGGCCTGAACTCTCTCAGCCTGTCTTCATAGGAGACGTGCCTATAAAATTGCACCAATATAAATTAACGTAAATATAAATAAGCATCATGGGATATGCATTAGAGCTTTTCCTCTCAGAATCAGTGGGTTTCAACCTCAGCCAAAGCTAACAACAGAGTAGAGGTCTCTAAGTTTTACAGACTCTTAAATGGGAACCATCTCCACTTATCTGTGCCCTTGCTAGGGCTGAGTCATTTGGATGATCCTGACGGTCATCTGCTGAAAGCCTGGACTTTGTTGAGATGCCTATGCCATCCTACTGATGTGTAAGTAACTGCCTGGAAAATTCTGTGTTCTGGAAAAGGGAAGAATGCAAAAGATTCCTGGCAGCTTATTCAGCTACATCATTTCACACAAGGTAGTTATACTGAGTTACACTGAGTTTGCAAGTATCAATAGAGTGACTATGGCTGTGTGCCAGTCATACAGCATCGCATCTGTGTGAACATGTGAAGCAAACCAGGGTTTCTCTTCTGGTTCTGAAATGAAACCTGAGTGTCTTCTGTAAGTCAAATTTACCTGGAAGCCATTCTTACAGCCAAAATTACAGAAAGAAAATCAATTGCCTTATTCTGAGAAAGCACACATCAAATATATTTTGCAACGTTTTATGAGAAATGGAGGTTTGGTTTGTAGCATTCAGAGATTTTAGCTTTCCATTTCACACATGCTATACTCTTCCTGGCCTTTCTGTACATACCACCAGAGACACTCCAGTGCACTTGCATCCACCCCATGAAGAAGGAAGTCTAGGGACGTATGGGATAGGACTATGTGCAGCATTCCCAGGATCATGAGTATGATCACTTCTACCCATAGGCTGAACCCCAAGCTCTCCATAGACTCTACTTAGCACAGGGATGAAGAGCAGCTGCAGGGACTGGAGTGGTAGACAAAGCTTTTCTGAGGTGGGTTTTTTTTTAACCTCTCTTGTTTCCTTTCACCAAGGCATGTTCTATCTTAAATCTACCTATATTCTTGGTATGGGATAATGCCAACAAACCTTGCAATAGCAAGGAATGTGGATTTCTCTGCCTTGCTACCTCCTTCTCAGATCTTACAGACCTGCACTGTTGAGTGAATCTCCCTCGCCTAGTGACACACTGCACCAAAAGCAGCTTGATTGTGAGGCTGCAGCCCCACAGTCAAAAGGTGACTCCCATAAATACAGGTTCAGGAGTGTGTAAGGTGCATTGACATTTGTCACAGCATATAAAAATGTCGTTCCTTATCCCCTGAAGGCTGACTTTGTGTGTAGCTGTATGGAAATAGGTGTGGGTTTTCTCTGTCCAGCCTATCAGGCACTGCTGGTTGTTGTTCTGCTCTGTCAGACTATGTCATATTTGTGATGCAGCCCTGATGTGGAGGATTTGAAGTGTTTTCTGACTTTATTTATTTTTATTTCTAAAGAGGACGTTTGTATTCAAACGTTTTTGCCCTGGTTACTTTAAATGCTGGATGCAGCTGTGCTCTGTGCTAGGCTGGAGAGGTGGTGGACAACACTTCTCAGTGCCCCACTTCCCTTGTCGTCTGACTCCACAGCAGAGGTTTGCACTTCCTTTCCTAAAACCCACCCTGACATTTCACATCAAGCTAAAAAGACACTGCAGCTACGAGACTGCTACAGCATGTCTCGTATAGAGCAGCAGAGGGCTCTCTTTCCTCTGTTGGGAAAAGAAACCTTGGATGGTGCCTGGGTCTTCCGAGAAAATCCAGCTTTGTTCCTTGTGCCACGGCTCCTTTGGGCAATTCTGAAAACGGTACAGATATGATACGGCTATGATGATGCAGGAACACATTTTAGATTGATTAACACTACCTATACTCAAAGGCTTAGAATGTGAAGAGGTGGTCAGGGAAAATATATCAGTGATATTAATCTAAGTTGCAGTATTTCCTCAAGGAGAAAATAATGTCTCTTCTGTCAGGCTATTAAGTTTTATAGGTTATAATAATGAAATTGGTTTTGAGTTCCCACATTTTTTCAGTCTTTTAAAAATTACTTTTCCAAGATACCCTTATTTATTTATACCTTTTTAAAGAATCTGACTTTTGAAATCTTGTTTTTCAAGATAAACAGAAGAAAGAAGCAGAGAAATACAGATCATATTCACAATATAGGAACCATCTGTTTATTCTTAAATAACTGAAAGTAACATAAACAGAGTTCAATGAGTGAAGATTGACATATCTACTTTTAAATTTGTCTAATTCTCCTTATACACAGCACAGTACACAGCATTTTTATGTTGTAAATGCTTAACAAAGATATTTACATTTTAGAATGATAAGTTACAAAATGGAAGAATATAAAGTTAAGGTATCAGATTGCTTGGACAAGAAAAAATGTGCACATGTATCCAAGGAAAAATGTCTTGGGTTTCCCACAAGAGAGCAAGTTACAGTCAGTCAAAAAGGAAAAGAACTAGGATGCCTTGAGCTGTGCAGTTCTCCTACTGTAAAGCTGAATACAAAGTCATTACTAAATCATGCATAAGATGATGCTGACCAAATCAGAAAAGGCTTATGTGGCTCTGGCAGTACAATGTGTTTTCATCTGTCTGGAAATATTCTGTCTGCTGAAAATGCTTCAGGGCTCCCTGTCACCATGGATATTCTTGCCTGGGGGGTTAGGTTGGGAGGGGAGATATTCATCCTGCCTGCTTTTCTTATTGTTTGCTAGCAGAGGCACTCCATGCTGTTCAGTTTTTGACATGGGTCATGACAGCAGAAAGCCTGGGACTTTCCTCAGTTAGCAACATTGCTTTCATATGGAAGAAAGGGAGAATGTATTGTGTCCTTTACAAAATTCTGCTCTGGGTCATATGGGAATGCTTGACTAGATTCAGAGAAGTGGCTTAGGATTTGTATTGCTTAAATTTTAGCATTGTGGTAGCCAGTGAAAGTATAGATGGGAAGTACAGGCAATCTTAATGTCTATACTTCCTTATTTATAGGTATTCTTCCTAAAAGAAATGGGAGTGGCAGCAATGCTGGATTTCCTATTAAAGAACTGGCCTCTGTTCAGGACACTCATCTACACATGGAAACATAGACTCATATTCCTCCTCTCTCAGTGGCATTTAGTAACTGAAGTGAATGCTGAACAGACAAGGCACTGGGTCTTTGTCTAATCATCTTTCTTTTTAACTACAGTTGTTTTCTTATGTATAGAAACCATAAATATCCTTAGGGAAAAGAGATAGATTCCCCTCAAGCCTTGTGAATGAGTTCTGTATTTTCTAGGTGGCTTTAAATGTCTCCCTGTGGACATATGGACTACAAAAGGATGTTGGAGAGCTCACTAAGAAGTGCAATTCTTTTGTCAATAGACTCATGGAAACATAGGAATAGCTATAGTCTGTCAGACCAGTATTCCATTTCCCTCAGTGTACTGCCTCTTACAGCAGTCAATAGCAAATGCTGAGGGAAGGACTTGTACAGACTAAACATAGGGTGATACATCCTCTGAGTAGTCTCTGAATGTTTAAATACACTGATTGGTGACTCAGGCCCTTCCTGAGCAGGATGTGGTACCTCTGTACTCAGTAGTCATTTAGACATCTGTCAGACAAGAATTTATGCTGTTTATTCTGTTTTTGAATCCATGTCAAATTCAGTATTCATGTTCCATGTGGCAAGAAGTTCTATGGCTGAACTATACTATGGATAGGGTTATACCTGTGTTGTATTTCTGAGAAGGAATGCTTTTTTCCTGAATCCCCAGGTATCTCACAGGTTTTCTCAATAGTTTTGTTTCATTTCTAGTGGGAACATCATTGGTAGCTGGATTTGCCAAAGCCTGGAACTGCCAAAGAATGTGCCGCAGTTGTCACTAAAGTGTTTTCTAACTTTCTTTGAATGCAAACTCTGTAGTGAAAGTTAATCATAAATCTTTTTTAAAAAAACTTTAAAAGATATTTCCAGTGTCAAATCAGCTTTACTTAGTCTTAGATATGCAATTTTGCATAATAGGTGAGAGATCCTGAGAATTATGTTCTGTCAATAGCTAAGTA